TTTTGTTCGGAGCATCACCTTGGTGCCGATCCTGCCGAGCTTAAACTCAGCTGCAACGCCCAGCGATGAAAGATCGCCAATCAGCGTGTTGAGTGGGACTTGTTTCACCACCAGTGGAGGAAGCTTCATTTTTGCTGCACTCGGGGTGGCAGCAGTTTCGTTGTCGACGGCGTCGCCGAAATCACCAATGACGCTGACGTTCGTCGCGGTGGCATCGTCCCGTCCACTCGCACCATCGGACTGGCCTTGATTTTTCTTCCTCTTCTTTGACCGCTTCACCGTGGCTGAGGTGGTATTCCCTACATCGGTGGGAAGAGTAGCGTACCTATTCGAAATAGGTACACTCAAGCTACCCTCACCGCTGTTCTTCTTCTCCGTTTTCTCTCGGAGCCTGCTCCGGGAGCGCTGTCTTCCCATCACACGAAGCAACCGACACTACTGACGACGCGATTAAACTGCGAATGTTTGGAACAAACTAGAAACTTTAGAACAACTCGACAGAGCGAGCAAAGACCGAACTGTACTGATTGACGTTCAAGCAGAGAATGAGCTAATGCAATACAGCAGCGCTCTTTTATATTTTTTCAGGTTAAAGCAGAATGATGTGCAACCAAGTGGGGCTCGATTATGAGGACTGGGTTTGGGAAGAACGTTTATTTCATGAAAACAGTGGTAAAATTATCACTTTTTATTTGTACATTGGACAATGTTTGACATTACCACTTTTTCAATAGCTTCTATATTTCTGATCGATTGGTGATAAATTATTGAAATTGGTCCAGGAGCAGCTGAGTTATTAATGTTCAAAATCTTTCATAATTTTGTTTCATGTTCCATTTTCGGTTTTCACAAAGTGTACCCCCAGTATAGAAATGAAAGACGTAGTCCTACGTCAAAACCGTCAAACGTACCGGTTCCCACTTCGTTGAGAAGGAGATCTGAATGCTCGCCATGAGGCCTGGCAGAACTACCAGCAGAACTACGGTCGTCTGCTGTTCGACCACTCGCAGCATGGGCTGTACTCCATTTGGTTCTCGGACGAGCCAACATTCATCTCACCGGCGGGTAACCGATTGACGCTAGTCCTGTTCCTGACAAATACCGGGTAGCCTTGAACGAACTCAGCTCCGACCACCAACCGGACTACCATTGCGTAAACTGTTAACTACATTAATGTTACATGACGACAATTTTATGACCTTACAATTCGGTGCACAAACTCATACAAATATTCACGGAATAGCATATATCAACGCATTATCGTTAGAGTGACCTTCTTGTCCCTAGTTTCCTTAATCAAATCACATGGTCCCACTTACCCCATATTCAGTATGAGGCGAATGACAATGTAATCAAATATATTATATTAACAATATGATCCACTCTTTCGCTTAGCTGGCGAACCGAATTTTTAGCGATGAAAGCATAGAGGTAACTCTAAGACTAGAAGGTCCCGAAATAACGTGCTCAACTTTTTGGCTCAGCTCTGGTACTCTCTTCGGTCCCAAGCTAATCGATTCACCCCTCGAAACATAGGAAAAACCAATAACCCCTCATTTTATCTGTCAAACTTTCATAGCGAATCAAAACAAACATTGCGTTGTACTAGAATTTCGACTAGAATAGGGTACGTTAATCGTTTGCTTGGGACCAATAGGCTACTAAAGTGGTGAGCCAATTTAAAATCGTTAGTTTCGTATTGATTGTTGATGAAAGCGCCTACGTGGCCAAAAAGGCTACCACTGTATTTATTTATCTTTCCAAGGGGTAAACCAATTGAAAATTTGCATAATATTTCAAATGTATGTATTTCCGCATATTATTTTATTTGACCACAACAGTGACACGTCAGACAAATTTTCATGTAATATACGAATTGTAATTAATGGAAATAATTTGAATTTTATTTTTGTAATAAGTGCTATATTCACGCCCCTCGATGTAATTGTATTATTCTTGCTGGCCTTTTTCAACGCTAGATGGTGTGTGAAGCAATATGTTTCGGGTCGTCATTGCAATGTTTGGAAAAGGCATGAATGGATCATATTGTTAATATAATATATTTGATGTAATGTTGAAACATCTATAATAAAGAATAATAATAATTTTCTCAGTTTTTAGAACTGCCTTTGTTTTTGGACCAGCGATGCGATTCAACATTCAGATGATGATGTCATCTCCTGTGATTACCATCCGCATTCAGTGACTAAACTCATACTCCAAATGCCTTAAACGATGCATGTGATTCAATAAATTTCGTCTTCCCCGTGCCACAGTATCGCTGAGCGTATACCAGTCATGGATACAGCAGCTTTGGAGCCTTTCATTGCTTAGTTAGTAAGGGCACAGCTGCAAAGCAGACCAATACTGGGTTCGATTCCCGGTCCAGTCGAAATTTTGTCGACTACCCTGGGCACACAATATCGTATTGGCTTAGAACGCTCTTAATTCACTTCTGTTTTGGGTAGGTATAGAGCTCCACCTTGGGAAGCAATAGTCAAAGAAGAAGAATCAAGCAGTTTTAGTTCAAATATGGATGTCACTGACGAGACTGACGACGTGCTTGATGATGCAATCATCGCGTTTCATTTTCAAGTTTCTGTAGGAACACTATTTATGGAGTTGATAGTGTAGTGTGCGGCTATAGATGAGGCAAAATCCAACAACTACCTAAATGGTTCTGCGCAGACGGAAAGCACCAATGCGGTCTTGTGGTGTGTATTACAGTCATGCATCATTTCTCGCCCACGCCCTTCTCCTCCTGCTCCAGTACGAATGAGTTCGAGTTCGAGCTCGATTCGTTCGTCATCGGCACCTTATGATTCCATTTATGGATTTATTTTGAATTTTGTTCAATGACCTAAATTAGATGTGTCGTTCCCCCTGTGCAGTATGAGATAGCAACCGAATGAGCTCAAACTTTGGGAGATTAATCTGGACCTGATTTAGTGGGGTGGAAAACTAACGATATTTTTAACCGCCCTGATATACAGTGTCTATACTGCCCATGAAAGCGTATCAGTCCCATCTGGAGCAAACCAAGAAAAACGCTGTTGAAAATTTATGTGTCCGTATGGATGGGAAAACCTAATTTTGGAATTGTTATTGATATTTTCTGAACAAAACAGTGTGCACTAAGTAAAATGTCAGTAATTTTCGATCGATTCTAAATGGATAACTCATTTCTGACATAAATCCATTGGGAATATTATGCTTTTATGGGTAGTACATGGCTGTTTCAATGAATCAAGGAATATCTCGCGATTGGGATGGGATACAGCGAAATTGCAGATTATTTTGCAATGATTCATTATTGGGTTTGTTTTTCGTATACGAATATATGCCAACGCGATTATGCAATCCGCAATCCACTCAGTTTCTTTTAGGTAAAATTTGCTTCTCTGTATTTTAAACGATAGCCTCAGAATAGGAACATAAACCGAGCTTGGATTAGATTAACAAACCCAATAATTCCATGACTGAAAAAATTTGCCTTTTCAACAATATAATGCAAACCTTTAAGTACCTACAGATCAATTCTGAGTTGTAGCGCTAGCCTTAGAATAGGAACTTAAACATAAACACCCGTTTGCTGTCAAATAACATAATGGGGGAAATGTACCATTTATTACTAGTGATCCTATAATCGGCCATACGGCTTGAATCTTTGAATTTTTTATAAAAAAAAAACTAAATTTTATTCACAGGAAGGGAAGCTAATCTCAATGCTAAAAATATGAAAAAAAAAACTTATTTTGACATGAGTTAATGGGTATGGCCAATTAGGGGAGCATTAGTGCCATAACTGGCATACTTCCATATAGCTAAGCTTAGTCTAAGCCTTCTTAAATCGCCTACTTTTTCAATGAGCTCATGTCTGGTAAATTTGAAATAAATTTCTATAGAAAATAAAACATTTTAAAATTCATACCCATTTTCTCGTTAATTAAGTATTAATTTTTTTCTGTCGAATTGAATTCTAAATAAATTTATTCCGTGGGACTGACTGAAACCTTAGGAAATTAATTTACCTACCCAGCTAGGTACAGGAGTCTGTTAATAGAAAGAGAAGAGTTTCAAACCCAAAAGGAAACCGTTAGAGCGAACGAACCGACACACCCGCTAGCTACCCCAGAAATTCAAGCAACTGCACTGCCGTTCTACGCATATCAGTCCCATGTTTCAAAAGTTGCTTCTGAGAAAATTGCGAATAATGTTTCGAATCATTTCTGCTCATTCGAAGAAATATACGTTAAAATAAGAACCAATATGAAGAATCAATATGTTTTAGTGAAAACTACAGAAATTACCTTCAATGAAATCAGTTAAGCCTATTTTCATACGAACAATATGTAATGGGACTGTTATGCCTAGAAATTTGTACTGTAGGAAATTCTACGCATGTTAGTCCCACTAGGAACTATTGGGTTTTGCCTTCTTAAACTTCTCGAAGAACCCTACAGGAACTGTCAGTATTGCTTTGATGGCCACGTTGCGTTTGACGTCTTTACTCTTGTGATTACATGAGCGTGCTTGCGTTCTCCGCAGTTTTGGAAGATCCTGGATAGTTTGTATAGCTTTCCATCATTAAATTATACCAACAATAAATTTGTTGACACTTCTTTGGAAGAGTTGACATGCACATCCAAATTTCTTCCGTACGGAGTTGACCTTTATACCACCCCACCTATAAATCCTTTCAATAATTTGTGTACGCAAATCGATTCGTTAATGATAAATTCAGTCGAGAAAATCTTTGTGGGACAGTTATGCGTAGAATTCAACATGGGACAATTAGGCTTGATGGTGTTTTTATATAAACCCAGAACAAACAATGTTTTTCTATTTTCAATCCAAAGTCTACCTAAAAAATATTGTTTTATGAACAAAAGTGAAAAACGCCCAAAAGTAACATGAGACAGATATGCGTAGAACGGCAGTGCAGCCAATTATATCAATATGGATAGTTTGTGAAGAAGAACAGATAAAATACAGTTAACTTCAATTCGAGAACAATTTATTCAATTATTTCCTTTTTTCTTCGAGCCACGCTTCAGGGTTTGAATATCAAACGTTTCTGCTTCGAAGCGGGCGTTTCACTTGGTGGGGCAGTGAAGTGCTAGTGAATTTAGTATTCCTCAGCACCCTCACCCTCACCTTCGCCGGAGTCCATGCCGACTTCCTCGTAGTCCTTCTCCAGGGCGGCCAAATCCTCACGAGCTTCGGAGAATTCACCTTCCTCCATACCCTCACCGACGTACCAGTGGACGAAGGCGCGCTTGGCGTACATAAGATCGAACTTGTGATCCAGACGAGCCCAAGCCTCGGCAATGGCGGTCGTGTTTGACAACATGCACACGGCACGCTGGACCTTGGCGAGGTCACCACCTGGGACGACGGTTGGTGGCTGGTAGTTGATACCGACCTTGAATCCAGTAGGACACCAATCGACGAACTGGATCGTACGCTTGGTCTTGATAGTAGCGATGGCGGCGTTGACATCCTTCGGGACAACATCACCACGGTACAACATGCAACAGGCCATGTATTTGCCGTGACGTGGGTCGCACTTGACCATCTGGTTGGCTGGCTCGAAACAAGCATTGGTAATTTCAGCCACGGACAGCTGCTCGTGGTAAGCCTTCTCGGCCGAGATGACCGGAGCGTAAGTAACCAGTGGGAAATGGATACGTGGGTATGGGACCAAGTTGGTCTGGAATTCAGTAAGATCAACGTTCAGGGCACCATCGAATCGCAGCGAAGCAGTGATCGAAGAAACGATTTGGCCAATCAAACGGTTCAGGTTGGTGTAGGTTGGGCGTTCAATGTCCAGGTTACGACGGCAGATGTCATATATAGCCTCGTTATCAACCATAAATGCGCAATCGGAATGTTCCAGGGTGGTATGGGTCGTCAGAATGGAGTTGTATGGCTCGACAACGGCGGTCGAAACCTGAGGAGCTGGGTAGATGGCGAATTCCAGCTTGGACTTCTTGCCATAGTCAACCGACAGGCGTTCCATCAGTAGGGAAGTGAAACCGGATCCGGTACCTCCACCGAACGAGTGGAAGATCAGGAAACCTTGTAGACCAGTGCACTGATCAGCCAGCTTACGGATGCGATCCAGAACGACATCGACGATTTCCTTTCCGATGGTGTAGTGACCACGGGCGTAGTTGTTAGCAGCGTCTTCCTTGCCGGTGATCAACTGTTCCGGGTGGAACAACTGACGGTAGGTTCCAGTACGGACCTCATCTACGACGGTCGGTTCCAGATCAACGAAGACGGCACGTGGGACATGCTTTCCGGCACCGGTTTCGCTGAAGAAGGTATTGAACGAATCGTCACCACCTCCGATGGTCTTGTCCGAGGGCATCTGACCGTCCGGTTGGATTCCATGCTCCAGACAGTACAGTTCCCAGCAGGCATTACCAATCTGGACACCAGCCTGGCCAACATGTACGGAGATACATTCACGCTGTAACGAGCAAAAATATAAAAAAAAAAAATTAATAATCTGCTTTAAATCTTCTCCAAAAATCTAATTTCAATATAGGTAAAAATGTTCATCCTTCCTCATAAGATTCACCAATTGCTATGAATGAATCAAGTAATTAAGAGGGACATGTTACTCTTGCCTCGCTGATTAAAGATCGGGTTGCAACGGTTTAGCAAAATGATCTTTTGCCCAGAGAGGCACAATTGCAAGTTCAATGAACCGGGTAATTTTCATTACATTTAAATTTTTCAGTTCTCCTCCCAGTGACCTCGATTTTCACAGCACGAAAAATGAGTCATGCTGCGGCATTTCAATTTAATCTGTTACAGTAGCAAGCAGCCAATTATGCGCGGCGTGGCTTTTAACTCAAGAAAAAAAAAAGCAAAATGGCGTCACTTTCTCTCCCGCATCGAATCGGTGACTTCCACTTTACCCGTAGAATTAATCAATTTAAGGGTGTGGTTCCGGAATTCCAGAAAATCGCAACTTTTGAGGTCAATAAAAATAAAATGGTGTGCAAAATTATCGAAACGTAGGACATTAACACATTATTTCACTAGTAGCAAAATTTACAGGACAGAAGCCGGCTTGCGGAGAATTTTCACTTCCGCCATTGATAGGCGATGACGTGGAATTTTCTAGCAAATAAAGTAATGCCGGTTCAAGGATTTAAAAAATCCAATTCATTACACTCTTATTAATTAATGAAAGTAGATCACTTAACTTACCATTTTGAATAATGAAGTTTAGCGCACCGAAGTAATTAGCACAAATCGAAGGAAGAAATTTTTCTTGTTTAAAACAGCTGGGCTCGGCTCGGCTTGGAGATGCTTACTAGGACGCGTTCCAAACTGAGAATAATGACGAAAAACCGAAACACAGGGCTTTTATAGACTCGTTTGGAATGAGTGGAAAGTGGAGCGTTCGGGTCGATTGAGTTCGGTTCGGTAACGGTTTTCCATCGTGGTTGGTTGCTCGTGGACTCGACTCGTGGTCGTAGGCAGGGTTGCCATGTGATTTTTCGAAAAATCTGGCTAGAATTGGCAAATTAAAGTTGACCCCGGTTGAGAATAGAACACTAATTTAAATTCAATGTTTATATTTATGTCGAGATTTATGTGTCCCACACTCAGCCCCACAGATGAATTTTTGCAATGTGATAAACAAATTATATATATGTGTCGAACACATATTTCTTATGTGCATACATAAAATTCATGTGTAACCATACACCTCGCCATACACATACTATTCATTTGACTCATAAATTTCATGTGTACTTCTGAGTGGATTCTGTTTATGTGTGGACACATGAAAATCATGTGGAATTTACATGGAAATTTGCCAATAAAAATGTGTCGAATTTTATGAGTGAAGAACTATGAAAGTGATGAAGGTTTCAAAATTTTGAACGATGAGGTATTATCAACAATCAATACGAAACTAACGATTTTAAATTGGCTCACTACTTGACTAGCCTATTGGTCCCAAGCAAACGATTAACGTATCCCATTCTAGTCAAAATTCTAGTACTACGCAATGTTTGTTTTGATTCGCTATGAAAGTTTGACAGATAAAATCAGTGCTAACATTTGTTCATAGTTCTTCTATTCTCTACGGGAGCCAACTTTGATTTGCCAATTGGCAAATCAAAGTTGGCACTCGTGGAGAATAGAAGAACTATGAGTGTGATGATGGTTTCAAATTTTTACCACAAACGAAGTGACAGACGGAGCTGTAAGGCTCCTATACACTGATAAATTGAACTCTCGATTGAACTATTCCCATTTTGCTTGAAATTTAATCAATTTGACATTAAACTCAGTTGAATCATATCGAATGATTAAAAATTAATCCTCTCTTTCTAAAAAATAAGCATCTGATATTAATCCCAGTTAAATCATGATTGATTAGATTGTAGATTATCGTTTTTTGAATATATTTTAATCATTTTTGATTCTATTTTAAAAATGTTTCATTGAATTTTAATCTTTTTATATTATATATCAGTATTGAAAAAGAATAAAATTTAATACTGGAAAGATTATTTCGATTTTAATCATGCATGACTACCCTAATAAAAATAACCATAAACGAACGATAACCCAAATCATTGAACAATTCCACAAATGGTTTGGATGATACCCAGAACACGTCGTTAAGCAAATTAACCATACAATTTTTATTAGGGTACTGCCGAAGTAATCATGACTCGGACTCAATTGGCGTCTTGCAGTGAAACTTTTCCAAGCTTTCGCCACCTACATTTCAAAGGGAGAACTACTAGAAGGAGGATAGTTTCCAAATTCTCCAAGTAAAACAGACGATTTTTGGGGCAAATCGGTCTATAAAGAAAAACTAATAATTTCCCGTGGAAACTTTTGCTTGAATCGTGTAAGAAAACGTGTTTGAAAGCTAACTGTTATTATTTCAGTATGGATCGGAGATGTTTTCATGGAAAATTATGCATAACAAGTTTGCACCCACAGGTTACCTCCTGCGCAGCTGCATTTTTCGGAAAATGGTGAATATGTGCGATTTCCACTAAGATGAAAGTAGAAATTAAGTGAACTTACTTAGGAAAGGTTGTATCATGCTGCTGGTAATGGAGAATTGGTTGTATAGGACGCCAATATTCAATAAATGTTCATTTTGGCTTTTTTAAGGTAAACATATTGATACTCACAATTTTCGACGGAAACGTAACGGAACTTGATGTACTCAACACGCACCATACTATAAAATGGTGCTAGATGGTTTTCAAAGTGATAACAACATGACAAATCATCTTTATTTTGAGTAATTGAGCAATTTACTTCTGCTTACATCATATGTACGATGCAGCATTGGTGGAGCTGTGAAATGAAATGAATATATCTTATGAAAGTTCATCTGGAAAAGTCAAAGATGCACATCAGTCTGATCGTAAAAACATTTTCTTCTTCAATTCCTCGGTTCGGACTTGTATTCATCTGAAACTTTTTAACACATCTCACATCACATCCATTCCCTGATCTATACGACAATCTTCCAATAAGGTGAAGCGCGAAACTGCATACTTTTTAAGCTTTTTTGATTTAATTTATCTTTGAGTGTATTATCACCCTGATGCCCACCACATATCGACGATATCGCCCAAGCCTATTAATGAAAAGTGACGTTTCACTGTTTCAGAAACACCACGACCGTAAATCGTAAATCGTGACAAACCATTGAGAAGGGCATATAAGATTAAACCAAACTTTGTTAGCTCTTTCCTCGAAAAGCGTAGGCCGCCCACGCAAACCAACAGCATCACCGGGAAAACTTTTCCCTACACTATGATGCTGTGGATTTGCGTGAGTGGCCTTCGCTTTGCGAGAAAAGGGCTTACAAAGTTTTGTTTACAAAAGCTGATAGGTCCTTTTTAATTGTTCGTCGAGAAATGCTTCCCCAGTTTTATTCGTTTTATTCCCATCGAGTCCATCGAATCCTAAAAAAAAACTTTCATTATTCGGTTCGGTTAATGTTTGCAGAGAAGTAACAAGTTAATATTAATTTATATCGGTTAAACTGGTATCTAAAAACACTGAATCGTTACAGTTATGGGTGATCGCCAACGTGAATAGTGCATCCTCCCGGAATCTTCAAACCGATCGTGGAACTAAATCGATTGGTTTGGTGAAAATAAAATCAGTACAAGGTCTTACCAAACGTCATCAACAAAATTATTTCGTAAGGCGAATACACCCCGGATGTTCTAACAGAGCTAGATGAAAAAGTACAACTATAGTAAACTGAACCAACGGGACCTAGAAGCAAATTCTTTGGTCTCTTCCGCGAGTGGTAGCATCAGTAGCAACGGTTCAACTGTAATCGATACCGGGATGTATCTGCGAGACTGGCGCCAGGCTCTGAGGACACCTCCCTCGTATAGGATTGGTAATCGTACCATTCGTTTGCAGGTGCACATAATCTGGCCACTGGCCGTGCTCGGAGCCATTGTGCTGTTTCTGGTGTACGTTATCAGTAGCTCAGCGATGATGAGTGGGCCTAGCATCAACAAACTGGATAAAAACTCAGTCATTCTTTACAATCACACCTATCCATTAACTAGCCCGATCATAAGCAACGGAATCTACTCATTTCGGATAGGAATCATAGCGGATTTGGACACAAACTCGCGGGTAAATGGGAAGGATTCGTGGAATAGTTACTTCATGAAGGGTTACTTGAGCTATATCCCTTCCAAAGGCACTGTCGCCGTCTCATGGGATGAAACGGGGCCAAAGGAAATCAAATCGAACTTTTCATTAAAAGGTAAGTTGGTTGAATGCGTTTGGGGGAAGTGTAATTAATTTAGTGTTTTTCGACAAGGTCGAGGGATGGAATTATCCGAGTTAGTCGTGTTCAATGGAAAGCTGCTCACCTTTGACGATCGTACCGGTTTAGTGTACGTAATAGAAAAGGACAATGTCTACCCATGGCTGCTATTGATGGATGGTGATGGGAAAGCGAGCAAAGGTTTCAAATCCGAATGGGCTACCGTGAAAGATCAGGTCCTTTATGTAGGCTCGATGGGAAAAGAGTGGACCACTGCCAGTGGGGATTTCGAAAACAACAATCCTATGTTTGTGAAAGCGATAACTGTGCATGGCGAGGTAAACTGGGTTTATTTTAAAATTATTGAACCTTTCATCATGCTATCATTAACGCAGATTTACCATCTCAACTGGGCGAACAATTTTAAGGCGCTACGAAGTTCCATAGGCATCGAGTGGCCCGGATACATGATACACGAGTCCGGTGTGTGGTCCAGCGAGGCCAGCAAGTGGTTCTTCTTGCCCAGGCGGTGCTCTAAGGATCGTTATAATGAAACCCGCGATGAGCACATGGGATGTAACTATCTGATCACAGCAGATGAATCGTTTCATTCGATAAAACCGATCGAACTGAAACGCGCAAACGTTCCTGCAACGCATGGATTCTCCAGTTTTAAGTTTCTGCCAACCTCGGGAGATCAGATCATCGTCGCTCTTTCAACGGAGGAATTGAACGGCAAAACGTCTAGCTTTATCAGTGCGTTCCACGTGAATGGAGAAATGCTGATGCCGGAAACAAGGATACCAACCGAATACAAGTTCGAAGGATTGGAGTTTATTTAGGGGTGTGTCCTAGAAGCGCTAGCACCAGCTATAGATGAAAAATATCCAAAGTCGGACTGAATAGATAAATCTTTGTACATAGGTAGAAACGTATGCGAATTAATTTGTGTATTTGTTGGAACAGCACGATATTGAAAGTATTACCTACACAGCTAATTTGATTGCCATAGCATAGGTGTTGAATCGAAATCCGATCCTGAAACAACGTAATCTTCTGTTAACCATTCAGTTTAGAGGCAATAGTCTATGTTTTCTTCATTTCAATGGTCTTTCTACAAGTCACAAGAGTTTTATATAAATTCACCTGTAATGTGATATTTCTTTGTTATTTATCGAAAAATAAGTCAATCAAATGAAAAAAGATGTTGTAGAATTTAAATAAATTGGTTTCCCTTTTGAATGAAATTTCCATAAAAATGATCCCCCTTTTCCACTAGCCTTTTCTAATTCAAAGATACTCAAGGCCTATATATCCGTTAGTGAAACGTTGTGGCAATTTTTTTTTTTCCTTTGGTTTGTTTTTTCCGTCGATCTTGTTTTCCGTGCTGAGCACCAATGCTACCGACGTGCCAGGAAGGCAGCTCCCACACCTGGACCCTACCTATCGACCCATCAACTCATGAACCGGGGACCAACGGCTTTACTTCCCATCCGAAGGAAGGCGTGATCATAGATGTTATGCCTCAGAACATCCCGGCGGCGCCGACTGGGATTGAACCCAGGCCTGCTGGGGTGAGAGGTAATCACGCTTACCACTACACCACCGGCGCCGTTGTTGTGGCAAAATGACAGTCAAATCTATTTTCTTATTTTAAATTTGACGCAACGGATGCAATTTGCGGGCCTTCAGAGGAAGAGCTAAGCGGAGATAATTTATTGAGCGTTTAACTTTAAGAATTTAGAATAAGCGGACATACTTTTTAGATCAGATTAGGGAATATTAAAATCGGGTGGAAATTATACCACGTTTATTGCGCATTTTGCATCACTTTAGGCTGCTGTGGAAGAAATAATTACACAGTAAAATTTTCGCACAGCCCGAAAAAAAAATCGGGTTATTTGAAAGCCGTAGCAGCTTTAGAACAGTACTGGCAAGCTACACTAATGAATTCGAGCACTAGAAAATTTTAAGAAGCTTAATGTTTAAATTGTATAACCAGTGCGGAAATATTACTGTGTACTTATTTTTAGCGCAGAAGTCTAATCAGTTGCGAAATCTGCATTATTTTTCGTGTTTACTTTAACATGACCTAGTTTGTGGATGAAAAATAACAGGGGATAGATATAATTTTTGGTTTACTAACCACAACCCACACTAAAGCTCTCTTTTATAAACGGATTTTTAGACAAAATGGAATGCTTCTACTACAGATGACTTCTAATTTATTAACCTTTCCATATTTACCATTTAATTTGATAAAAAGTTAGAAATTCATTATATTTTGTTGAAAATGCAATACTGCTTCTTGGTTCCAAACTCAATCTACGGGTTTCAATTTCGTATAAACAAATAGGAACTTCATACGGATGAAGGAAAAAATTGAATGGAAAAATTGATCCACCAGGAGTGCTCCATAGGACGAATCTGGGCGATTATTTATTTATTTATTTATTCGTCAATCTATCAAATCGTAGACTACATATTAACATTAGGACTTATGTTCTATGACTTCGCAGGGTTCTGAAATATATTTTTAATTCTGTTGAGGGCATATTTAGGTCAATCATTTCACAACGATGATTATAAACAGTCATCATCTGACTTACAGGTTCAAATTTAGCGTAATTGGTCCGATGGCGATCTACTGCGAACAACTGTCGATTGCGTAATTGTCGGGAAGGTGCATATACATTCAACCTTGACAATAGATCAGCTGAGTCAATTGGTTGCGAAATGATGTTGTTTAATAAAAAATCTTTGCGTAATCCCGATGTTCTTTCAATGTTTGAATGCTGATCAGCAAGCAACGTGCTTCATATGACGGGAGAGGAAAAGCCGTCCAACCTAACTTACGTAGTGCATATAATTTGGATTGACTCTATTCGTTCTTCATGCTTTTTCATATAGGGTGACCAAACAACGCTACAATATTCTAAAATTGACCTCACATAAGCAACGTACAGTGATTTTTATTGTATAAGGATCTTTAAAGTGGATACCGAAACGTTTTATAAAATTAAGCATATTGCTTGCTCTATGTATTATTGTGTTATAATGGTCCACAAATGTCAATTTAGAATCTAGAATAACACCTAAATCTCTTACATTTTCACATTTTTGAACATTTTTATTACCTAATGTAATACAAAGATTTTGTTTGTTTACTTTTCTACTGTACGTTATAAGATTACATTTTTTAATATTTAGTTTCAATAAACTTACTACACCATCTGTAAAAAACATGTATTTCATTCTGAAACACATTCATATCGTTATCGCTTCCTATTTCTAAAAATAGCTTCATGTCATCAGCGTATATAAGCACCCCTGACGTGACATGAATTGGCTTAGATGTTTTCTCGTTGAATCTTACAACTTTGCTGGCGATCAACTAAATACGATTTAATCCAGGTGAGGAGCTCGATTAGGCCGAAGTAAATGTTTGCCCCACCTGTTCCAACTTTGTTAATTAATTAACGGCCCACAAAATACTGTGATGCACTTCATTATTATTTTGCACTAACATTGAATCAAAACGAAAAGTCTTATCAAAGCTACTATCTGGTAGTCTTAGACTTCTCTACTAAAAATAATCCCTCCTAATTAGTTTCGAATAAAAATAAAAATTGATTTTATTTAGATGTTTTTTAACATCTACATACTCAATGTAGCCTCAACTTAAAATTAAAAGTGAAGGCCACAAATGAAAAAAAAAACATACATTAAACAATGATACGCACAATCATTCAAGGTTCATATAGCCAGAAAAAAAATGAAGAGAAACGTCTCCGTAGCATCTGTCGTGACAAGTGGAAATCAAATAACGAAGAGGCTCGATTGAATAATCGCTGCAATCCACCTATTCATACCGTAGTTTGTGCGACGAAGTGGCAATCATTGTTACGCAGCGCTCGGGGTTGGACGTTTAATTTGCTGCAAGATTGCGGTGCAATCAATTCTACCCTGTAATGTGTCCGCGACAAACAGGGCCCTTGGAGTAACTCTTAGTTCGGAGAGGCTCCAGATCGATCAACTGGCAGTGACAGTTATAGCTAGGCAAGTGAAACGGGTCTCTCCAAGGTAGCTTCATCAGAGCGAATCGAAGAAAAAGTCGTTGAACGGACTCAACTCTCTCAGCACCATTGTTTGGGCACCAGACCACAGAACAGTATTCCAGGATGGATCGCATATTACAGTGACTTGAGGCAATAGATGTCCAAGAAATTCTTTGCGATCCTGAAGCCAATGTCCTTGACGCCTTATCAACAACGTACGAGACGTGTTGTTTGTATGTAAGCTGATAATCTAGAATGACTCCCAGATCATTTAAATGACTCACACGTTCGATCATTGTGCCCCAAGGTTCATGATCATAGCCAAATATAACCGATTCCTTATTCGAGTAAAAGTGATCACTGAACCCTTGTTGGGTTAACCGTCAATTCGGTTCAAATTACACCAGCTGGCAAAGTTTTTAAGATCATCTACATACGATAGTCGTGGACGTTGGTACAGGGATGGATTCACCTCAGAGCAGAAAAAGAGAAAAGTAAAATTCCAACTTCACTCAGTTTTCAATACCATGCGCTCTTCTCCGCTTTGCTTCGACTTTCCTCTTTAAAACTGAGGACGGCTGTTCGGATGGCCTCCTCAATGTTCAAAAAAACTGAGGAAACCACAGTTTGTTCCTTTCTGAGAAACTTTTTGGCTTGATTGAGTCCGGCCTCCCTTAGCTCAGTCGTTAAAGGCGCAGCTACAAAGCAAGACCATGCTGGAGGCGGCTGGGTTCGATTCGGATTGGAAAATTTCTTGACTTCTCTGGGCATAGAGTATGATTGTACTTGTCACACAACTATACTAATGCTAATATGGTAAGACATCGAAAGCTCTCAATAAATAACAATGGAAGTGCATATAGAAGTTGAGAGCACGCAATAAGTTAATATGCGTTAAGCAATAAGCTTGAAATTCGAAGAAGAAGAAGAAGAAGAAGAAACCGTTGATGCGATGAGTCAAGGAATGCATGCTTCTTGGTTTCCATCACAATGCTCCAACAAGCATCGCTGCACTAACTGGTTAGGTTCACACCTTTGGATCCCACAGTCCTTGGTTCGAATCCCAATTGAATGTAAATAATCCAAATAAAAAAATATTTGTCTTTTGCTACTTTCCACGTCATTCGCCATCGGAAGCGAAAACTTCTCACATTGAGGAAAGTGCCTTTATCTAAGCAAACCACCCTTTCTCCGTTTCGTTTTGTGTTTGCCTCAATGTGAATGTGTTTTCATAAAGCTGTGCAATCGTTCTCCTCAATTTGATAAGCTGTAAAGTTTACACTTTGCACTCAATTTGTGAGGATGACAAGCCTGCTGGATTATGAGACTAGACCATTGGTTCACACTTTTTAACTTTGCGAAATTTTAAAATTTAATATTGCGTATTTTAAAGATTTCAGATTAAAAAAAAACATGACTCTTGAACTTGGATAACATTTTAGGATTCAGACACTATGAAGTATTGCTTTGGCTAGAGAATAATTATGATAATGCCAGGATAGTTGTAGAGGATATCTAGGGATGATTCTAAAGGATATTAACTAGAAATTCCAGGTAGTTTTGAGAAGTATTTAATGAAAAATGTAAGTAAAGCTCATGCACCATTACAAGTTTTATCGAGGTTTTAAAGCATTCGTCAAGTCTTAATCATGCTACTTGGGAAGATGAGTTTTAATCTAGTTTTGAAGAGACTATTATTGGGATTATGATAAATTTGACTACATGACTACAAACCTGAAACTACGCCTAATGATCACCTACGGCTGAAAATATCTGAAATGATGATCAATCAATAAATAAATAAAAGAGAAATATGGATGACAATTGCATGGAAATCTAAGTCATAAAATACCTGAACAAATTCTTTTTTTTTTAAATAAAATTTCAAGGGAATTCCTCAGAGAATTTATAAGAATATTGAGAGAATTTCAAGGAATTTCCGGGAAGGTTTGGCACAGTGTTGGGAAAATATCAAAAAATCAAATCTCATCAAAGAACAAGATCACATTTGATTTTCGTACACAAAAAATCAGCAAGCAAACAACCGCGGTTGATATTGCAAGCTGTGATATCACAGCTCAGAATATCAAGCTAACAAAACGAACAGTCTCGCAATGTCAAAGGAGCTTGTAAAATCAATAAAAATGATATGTTGCTCCAATATCACGCGTGATATTGAGAGGGTATGAGAGCGGAAAAATATCAATTTGCTAATGATTATGGCGTCACTGGTTTGGCAAACAATTTTGAGCATATCTTTAAAACAGTTTAGTGTAGTGCTTCAAGAGAATCAGAAGAAATTTCCAAAGCAATACTAAGGAGAGTTTCAATAAAATAATAAGATAATTCCAAAAGGGAATTTTTAGAAGAAATCTAAGGTGAAATCCAAGGAAATTAATCATATCGTCCGGCCATTTTCCACAGAGATGGCGCTGTTCCGCTGGTAGGAAGTGATAAGATTATAGAAATTGATAGAAGTGGGAATAATTCGCTTTCGGTGCATATTCAGATCAAAAAAAGTAAACGACAACCTAAATAAGTAAGTTGTTCAGTTTTTTTTCCCAGAAATTATTGTTAAACAAGCTACAATTAAATAAAGATGACCAGTCCCACTCGAAGTTCCTCCTTTTTTACATATTCTGCACAAAAAAAATTCTGCCAATCCCCCCCCCCACCATTCATAAAAATCGGCGGGAAATTATGTGAGGGGTGAGCTATTTTGTGTGCAGAATGTGTAAAAATGGAGGGACTTTGAATATTAATCTAATTGCATATATACAGGTACTAGCTAGGGTACCAGACATGTTTTGCACTACAGTGTCCTCTGTGAACAATTAACGGAAAACATATAATATGTAGTTGCCGATAGATGTCACTGCAAACAACATGATGGAACATGAATGCAGAAGCTTGACGAAATGATTAATTTTGGGAGAATACATTTGTCAATTCTAATTGGTATACGAAGGGATTTCCGAAACATATTCCAAACGAGTTCTTAGTGAAATTATGAATATTTTAATAATAGTTATGAATTACTAAGAATGTAACGATAAATTAAGAGCAAATTTCAATAGTTTTGTGAAAGCGTTCTGCACATAATTCCGAGACTGTTACGGAGCATTATAAGATTATTGGGAAAAATCCTGATAGTTAACGTAATTCTGAAAAATGGTCATAAGAAAAACCTTTTCAAATTTGGAAAGATATCCAGATATGAGTTCCTATGAAATAATTTAGTAAATTCAAACATTGCAAAACAAACTTAAAGATTCCGTGCACAGAAATTCAAGATTCAGGATTAACAAAAAAATTTAGGGATTGAGAACAAATTTCAAGATCCTTATCTTAGAAATTTCTGAATAGTGTAAAACTAAGGTAAAGGGTAGGGGGCGATCCCGACGTAGAGGTTAACATCCACATCTCTCACACCAAAGTCACGAGTTCAAATCTCACCCCCTAGACAAGTCACGAATGAAACAAGAGTGTTAAAGTGACTATAATAATAATAATTAAAAAAAGTAAGTTTTTAAAAAACCTAAACACCCCTCATTTTGTAGGTGTGTGCATACAAAATAATGCCTCTATTTTGATTTTGACATTTGCCCTTCACACTTAGATTATTTTACCGAAATCTGTGTTATTTTAACGAAATCTCATCAGCTGAACGTTCGGTAAACAGTTCGGTGATTATTCACAGATTTCCTGTAATTTTTCACCGAATATCTGTGAAAAATTACAGGAAATCTGTGAAAAATCACCGAACTGTTTACCGAACGTTCAGCTGTTGAGATTTCGGTAAAATTTCACAGATTTCGGTAAAGTAATCTTAGTGTGTTCAGTTATAAAAATGGCGTCCAACCAATAGGAGCAACGCATCAACATTTTGCACGCGCATCGCAAAAATCCGAACTGCTCGCACGCCGAGTTAGCAAAATCGTTCAAAGTGGTCAAATGTCACCAACGTAAGAAAGGGTTCAGGAAACGTTTGTCCATAGCCAGGAAGCCTGTATGGGGGAAATTGAAAGCCGGAAGCTGCAACGACGACAAAAAGAGTGGCCAGTGGTTTCAAGCGGAACCCTAACCTCTCCGTCTGAGATTTCGCAAACAAACTAGGAGTGTCGTCTACAACCGTACATCGAGCTAACAAGCCGAACTGTCGACTGTCACAAGGTAGTGACTCCAAATCGTGACGATAAACAAAATAAGTCGACCAAAACACGATCCCGGAAGCTGTACACGACGATGCTGACGAAGCTCGATTGCGTGGTAATGGACGACGAAACCTACGTCAAGGCAGACTTCTAACAGCTTCCAGAGCAGGAGTTTTTTACGTCAACCGGACGGGAAAAGGTGGCCGACATTTTCAAGCATATGAAGCGGCCGAAGTTCGCTATGAAATATCTGGTGTGGCAGGTTATCTGTACCTGTGGCTTGAGTACCGATATTTTCATTGAAACCGGGACCGTGAACCAGGAAATTTACGTGAACGAGTATCTGGAAAAATATCTGCTGTCTTTCCTGAAGCAATACGATTGTTCCGTGCTGTTTTGGCCGGATTTGGCATCCTGCCATTACGGAAAAAGCCAAGGAGTGGTATGCCGCCAACAACGTGCAGGTGGCACCCAAGGACAAGAACCCTCACAACACGCCAGATCACACCAATCGTTCGGTAGACATTTCGCTTACCACTCGTTGAGTTTTTGAAAGTTCGATAAAAATTATTAATAATTAAATCATTTCTAAGTAAGGGAAATGGCTCTAAAGTAGGGAAATGCCAATCTAAGATTGGGCCCATCGCTAAAAAGCTGCTCTTTATCAATTTTATCTAGGTGAACGCGTCATTGGGACGGTACTAATGGATATTTTTGGTCGCTATTGAAAATTTAACCGATTGCTGAATTTATGTATGGGCCCAAATTAGAAGCATTTAGGCCGACATTACATCCATTTCCCCTATATACGATCGTAATTTGATAACAATACATACACAAAAATGGTTCCTTGAATGTAAAACCTCTTTTCCATCGACTGTGATACTTATTTAATTTGCTTTTTTAATGCTTCTATTGAATTTTGTCTGTGGATTTATAAAACCACCTGCTTATCCTAGCAGAACTGCCATTTTTATTTTAACTTGTTGGACCATTCTAACGTCCACCCACGAGGCAGGATTTTCCTCAAACTGCATGCAGGCGAGAATATCCAAAGCAAAACATGGAGAACCTCGAGGAGAGCGCTTCGTGTGGGTGGGAGAATATTGTTCCTATGTTGTTATTGTTGTTGGGGATTGAAGCCGAAGTTGAGCGAGAGAACTCTCAGTTGATTCACGGAATGCCACGCTGTTTCCTTCCTGGTATTTATATTCCATGTCCGGCTGATCCTGATTCTCATTCGTAGTTGAATCTTCCTTTCGAACGCTGCTGTTTCTTCTGCTGTTGTGTGGCCTCTAGCTAACTGGGCTCCCTGTGGTGGTGGCTGAGGTGGTTGTGGCCTGCAGTGCGTTGAAAAGCCATTGGCTTCAAGGGAAATGTGTTTGGCCTCTCGACGACAGCGGTTTTGGCTTTGTTGATTGTTAAACATGGTTGATTTTCTGGGTGGGGAGCCAATATAATTAATTGGTTGTATGTAATTTCGGGAAACTACTCAGCGGCGGAAACGGAAGGTGAAAAAATCATTTAGCAGTTTCGCGTTATATTTTTAGTGCAGCAAATGTTATTGAAGGACAACAGTGACTTGTGGCAATTTGAGTAGAAAACTGTGTCCGGAGCCATCATCACATGATTGGTGCGGTGCGTGTTCGGAGAAGAGCAACATCTGCGCGTGGAGCCACGAAGATTGTGTGATGAGCATTCTTTCTGTTGAGACCTCTGCTGTTGGTTGGTTTTTGTGGCTGGCATGAGTTTTGGAACCTGCTGTGTGCGTGTTTCTGATGATGATATTGGTTGGTCGGCACGGATAGGTAAAAGTTCAATTTTGCCTTTCGAACTGGAAACTAGGTGAAGGCCAACATCACCGAATAGTTTTTCTATAGTTTACCACATCAATTATGTACTCAGTCAGGTTACCGTGAAATAGAATAAAGCCAGAAAGAGAGAGAGAGAAAATTTGAAAAGTGTTACATTGTTGAACCAGCTGCCTGTGACAAAAGGTTTGTATTAAGTATTACTATGCAGAAAATTCAGTGGGACTGATACCGTAATGCACCGAAATCCAGACACTAAGACCTTAAATTCGAACACTTTTAAAAGTTGATTATAAATACTTACCATGCTCAAAATATCAAGTGAATTTTAACATGACTTTATGTCATCGTTTAGAATCATCACACACGTTTATAATGTTGCAAGTTATACGTAATAGTTCCAATAAGATTGCATTTTTCATGAGCTTCTTAAAAAAAAAAATAATAATTAAACAAGGACATTTTGAGATATTTGAGTATATAACTTAAAACTTTTTCAAATTTCTAGTCAAATTTACTGTTTATGATTTTCCCAGAAATACTTTATTTTCACTACAGCTTTGTTTAAGACGTCATTTCGATCAAAAATGAAATATTCGTGCTACAATTTATTTAAAAATTACAAGATACAAAATGGCTGAATTTTCAGCAAAAATGTGAAGTCCATCCATAACAACACAAATTATTAAAATTTTCATGATAATATAGGCAAAATAGGCAATCAAGTCGAATAATTGCCGATGTTTGTAGAAATTGATAATAAATTCATTATCACTTTCGTGTCTAAAGCAAACCCCACACGCATCAATATATTGACGCGAAGGGGAATTATTGACAATAATATTGATGATGTGAATTCAGAAATATTGTCAATCTCGATATATTGACGTCAATATAGAATGTATTGACAATACGATTATTGTCAATAAAAGTAATCGTGTAGGGTCCACTTAAGAGTTGAACTAGCCATATGGCTAAAAATATATAATAAAGACAAAAAAAAATTAAAGGGTTGTGTCCTAGACACGACTCCAGTATGACGTAGAACCACGAAAAATTGATGTTTGTTATACATTGTTGACTATTATACTTATAATTATGAATAGAGCGGGGCAGAATGTATATTTTGTGCAGAATATCTAAAAAAAGGATCTAATTGCATATATAGAGGTACCAGATAAGGTTACAGTCAGTTGTGTGTAATTCACCAACATAAATCATCAAATATGCCAGTAATATCCTTTCGATTGGCGTATTTGTATTTTTATTTCATCTATAATATACACATATATTTTTTGATTTGTACCCCAGTATACACACTTAGAAAAAATCATGTAAATTTAGGTGTTCTGAGATTGACATATACGAGCGTCAATTTTGACATAAAATTGAGTCATAATAGCCGAGAAATTCAGCTCAATCAAACTTACTTTTCGTCGAGTAACGAGCTTTTCAGTCTCGGAGCACTTAATTTTACATGACATGTTTGTTTACGTCTCATCCTTTATGTCAAAGATGGATTACGTCACGTGTAAAATTAGTTATTTCTAAGTGTGTAGTCGACAAAGACGTAGTTCTACGTCAAGAGAAAAAAACAATATCACTTTCTTTAAATTGTATGGAGCATTTCCAGCCCAAAACGCAAACCGGTTGGTCATGAGTGTTTTCGATTTGAATGAAACATTTCTCACGTGTTCGCTGCTACTAATGGTTGCATTTTTCATTTAAATATGATTTTTTCCTCCAGAGTAACTTTTGAAAAGGGCGTATAAAAAAATGGATTATTTTTTTTTCAAAAAATCATAACTTGAAAACTATTGATCTGATCAAAATGGCATATGAGAAGAAGTTTTAGGTAGTTAAATTATCTTTGCGGAAAAAAAATACACTGAAAGAAAAACTTAGTAAATTAGTATTTAAAAAACGTAAAACGATGATTATTTCAAAACACCCCCCCTTCGATCTTTATAATTTTTTTTTTCAAGAAAACTGAAAAAATGCCCTAATATTTGGTGAAGAGTGTATACTGGTAACTTTCTTAAATTTTTTTTATAATTTTTGAAATTTTTGTTGGTTTTTACAAGTTGGTGAAATTGCATATTTTTTAATAAAATAGTAAATTATTTGGATTCTACGCATAATTTTCAAAAACATTGCACATAGAAACTTTTTTTCTTAGTCCAGCCGTTCTCAAGTTAATGCAATTAAAAAAAAAAATTATAATAATTTTCTACATTTTGGGCCATTTTCAAATGTTAGTCGTGATGTCCAGCAACGAGATGTTTTTCCATGAATATATATTAAAAAACAGACAATTCATTCTCAAATATGGTAGCTGTCAGACTTACCCGTTTCTATTTAGACGCAGCGGAAAAGAAACAAGTTTATAACTAAATACTCTCAAATATACCCAAATAATCAACAAACCCACTCATGTGCCTTTTTTCTGTCCTCTATTAGTTGTATACCTGGATAGAATTGTGTATGTCATAACAGAGGCTCAAAACATAAACAGGTAAACAAATATGTAATTAAACCTGTAATTGAGATAAATTCTCTAGGTACTTCTCTGACGTATACCATATTGTGCCTTAAGAGCTCATCCCGCGATATCACAACTACATAAAAAGGCACTCCGTGGAGGCTTCTTACACTCACACTTAAAAAAGTTTGCTATAATCAATTGTACCTAATGAAGATAGGTATAATGTCAACATTGTAATTATTCTGCTATATATATATATATATATATATATATATATATATATATATATATATATATATATATATTGGGACGATCTTCACCTGTTCCATTCAGTTCATCTCTCTTAGCGTTTCAAGTTAAAAAGCAAGTAGTTTTTTACGATGGATAACAATTTCAAGTGTTGTAAACCTCCACCTAAATCAATTTCAAAGCATGACACAGTAGCAGTTCAGTTGTTTATCTCAAAATTATAAGAATTTTAAAGTTGCAAATAACAGTCCAAAAGTGTATTTTTATGTCAGATGGAGCAGCATCACAATACAAAAACATAAAAATTTTTGCTAGCATTTGTGGATTTAAAGATAATCATAATGTAGAAATTGAATGGCATTTTTTTGCAACTTCACACGGCAAAGGTCATTGTGATGCGATTGGCGGTACCCTTAAGAGAATGGCAAGTTTAGCTAAGCAACACGAGCACCCTATAACGAACCCTTAACAACTGTACGACTGGGCAAATAGTCGTAAAGAAGATCTTCAAACAAAAATGTCATTTTGTTATGTTTCTACGGAAGAATACAAAAAGGCTGACACGGAATTTGATCCAATTTTTAAGAAAGTGAAACCAATTCCTGGAACTCGAAAATATCATTGCTATATTCCAGTTTCAAACAGCCAAATTGCAGTAAAAATATTCTCTAATTCAAACGATACACCCAAATTATTCAATGTATTCAAATAATATGAGTTGTAAAATAAAATAATAAATATATACTGTTTTTTATCTCAACAAATCTTTCATTTGACCACATCAACGTGCTTCTCTTCCGCTGCCTCTAGATAGAAACGGGTAAGTCTGACAGCTACCATATCTGAGAATGAATTGTTTGTTTTTTAATATACAATCATGAAATAAAATCTCGTTGCTGGACATCTCGACGAACATTTGAAAATGGCCTAAAATGTTGAAAATTGTTATAATTATATTTTTTAATTTGCATTAACTTGAGAACGGCTGGACTTAGGAAAAGAGATTTTATCTGCAAAGTTATCGAAAATTATGTGTAGAATCCAAATAAATTGTTATTTTTCAAAAAAACTATGCATTTTCATCAACTTGTAAAAATCAACAAAAATTTAAAAAATTATAGATTTCTTTTTAAGGAAGTTACCAGCATACATTTTTCACGAAATTCAAGGGTATTCCATCAATTTTCTTGAAAAAAAAAATTATAAAGATCGAAGGGGGGGTGTTTTGAGATAATCATCGTTTTACGTTTTTTAAATACTAATTTACGAAGTTTTTTCTTTCAGTGTATTTTTTCCGCAAAAATAATTTAATTACCTAAAACTTCTTCAAGTTATGATTTTTTGAATAAAAAATAATCAATTTTTTTATACACCCTTTTCAAAAGTTACTCTGGAGGAAAAAATCATATTTAAATGAAAAATGCAACCATTAGTAGCAGCGAACACGTGAGAAATGTTTCATTCAAATCAGAAGGGGTCGAGACAAAATTGACATTTTTTTTAACGATTTGAGCTAGAAATGGACATTTTCGTATGTTGTAGTTGTTTCTGAATACTTCAGTTGTAAGCTTTTAAATGACGTATATAGTGATTATACTCGATCAATGAATGTATAAATATTGACTGACACAAATAAACATGTTAGTCGAAATGATCAATACAAAAAATGTCAGAACGGAGAAAGCAATTGTTGAAGAACGCCTTAAGATCTTGCAACCAGTGTTGCCAACAGTTTAGTAAAATCCATTAAATTTTACCAAAATATGGTTTAGTGAACTAACAAAGATAAATATGTGAAAACTAATCGAATATCATGGTGAAAACCTTTATATTCTATTATTGCACAGAATTAAAATTGCTTATGGGATTTTTCATAGGAGTAGAGAGCAATTTAGTAACACCGTCAATAACAATAACTTAAACATTTGACAGCTCGCTGCTAGGTTTTTGGTTGCAAACTGTCTGCAAGGTTCTTGCAATTCGCGTTTTTGAAAAAAAAATTGCAATGTAACATTATTCACAACTTCAATGATCCTATACAATTTAAAGATCTTTACTCTACAATAGTTTGAAGATCATTAAATATCTCATTTCATGATGTGTATATTGTCAAAAGGTTCCCGTGTACTTCCCGGACTCATAAAGATGAGGACATTGTGTCAATCTTCAAAATCTGAACTCCAGAATATTTTGCCACGGATTTGTCTCGCCTTCTGATGTCAAAATTACACATTTTCGTGCACAAAACGCACGGAATTTTGGTTTATTCAATAGATAATAAAAACAAGCTAAAATTGATTGGAGGAATTTCTTGCTAAAATTTTTCGAATCCCGAGATATTCATATAAATTCGAGATTTTTTTGCTTTTTCTAGCGTCCTGGAGAAAACTTACGATCTGTTTCTGGTTAATTGACATGGTCATGGACTGGACATGGTATTCCGGCATTGTGA